GCAGTTTCCTTCACATGAAGCATGATAATCGGGGGGGGGGGGGGGGGGGGGGGGGGGGGGGGACCTGCATCTCCTATATGACCCCGTGTCTTCCTAAATATCTGTGGACTTTTGATTCTTGTCTTGAAATTTCACTTTAAACCTTGCCCCCCCCAATGTCTTCAGAATTTTGGTTTAATTAAAGGCAGAATTAAAGGAAATGGCATGCCTCTAGCTGAGGACTGGAGCAGCAGTGTGTATGTGTGTAAAACAACAACAACAGTAGTCACCTGCTCTTGGCACGCAGAGGGATTGAGTAGGCTGAGAGAATGCTGGAATTACCTTGAGGTGCATAGTATTTTTTCTAGAAATCTAATACAAGGCATCAGGCCTGGTGCCTTAGAGAAATACCTTTGTCTCCACTTCCACACACACAAACACAAAAACAGGTATAAATCTGCAGGCAACAGTCTCTCTCCAAACCCGACTTGAGTCAGATTGCTCACTGCCCAAAGGAATAGGGAGGTTGAAGGAGGCTGGCTAATTGTTCAAGGAGCCCTCAAGCCATAAATCACACAAGCCAGCAACAAGACCTGTTTTTCCTGTCCTGAAGAAACCTCATATGTTCACATCAGTGGGGTTTTGAAGCACATAGTAAATAAGGTATGCAATGAATGCATGCAGGATAATGCCAGGAACGCATTAGCTTAATGCTTTCCTGCCAGAATTTGTTTTGATTGATTTTGATTAGAGATGAGATTGATAATATATAATGGTTGGCTATATGTGTGAAAGGGATCTAGGAGTCCTAGGACCTTATTACACGGGGCCCAATCCTGACAGAATCCAAACGAAATCCAGACCTAATACGTATTATTTTCCCGTGTTTACACACAACGTTGCACAGAACCCCGAGAGAACCCCGACACAATGCGGAATGATCCGAGTTCTTTTGAATTTCGGTTTCTTCAGGAATTGCAATTGTGCAACGGGAATCATTTCGCTTTTACCATAAGTATGGTCACCAAATACGTATCGCCAAATACATATTGGGGAGCATTTCCCCGTCATTACCTCCTCGGAGCACCGCCTCTCCAAGGGGGACCTCCTTGGAGTGCCGATCCGACGCAGGGCCGGCGCTCCAAGGAGGACCTCCTCGGAGTGCCGCCTCTCCAAGGGGGACCTCCTTGGAGCACCGCTCCAACGCAGGGCCAGCGCTCCAAGGAGGACCTCCTCAGGGAACGCTGCGGCGGGAGGTCCTCCTCGGAGCGCCGGCTGTGCGGAGGGCCGGCTGCACCGAGGACGACCTGGGAAAGGGTGACAGCCGCGGTGAGTGACAGCCGCGGCGAGCATAGTGCGCATGTGCAAGAACATCATTGCTTGTTCATGTACGGGATTTTCCCACTTGTGTGTGAACGGCAAATACGCATTTCCTTAAATGCGCGATGACGGTAATTGCGTGTGATAACCATTTGCGGAATGAAGGTTTCTTTGCAGTTTTTTTTTGGAATTTGTCATTTCAGGATTATTATCGCTTTGTGGGCCACGTGTGATAAGGTCCCTAGTAGAGCACAAGTTGAGCATGAATAAAAGGTGTGCTGCAATTCTAGGCTGCATCAATAGAGGTATAGTGTCTAATCAAGGAATGTAATAGTGCTACTCTATTCTGCTTTGGTCAGGCCTTGCCTGGAATAATCCTGGGTCCAGTTCTGGGCAGAACAATTCAAAAAGGATTTTGAGAAGCTGGAAAGATGTCCAAAGAAGGGCAACTAAAATGATGAAGGATCTGGAAACCATGAATCCCTATGAGGAAGGACTTAGGGAACTGG